CTGGTTTTGGTTTTGTTGGTTTTTTTTTTTGTTTTGGTTTGGTTTTTTTCTTTAAAATACAGATACAATTTTTTGAACAGAAAGGATTAAAATTTTCAAAGTACAGGCGTATCTGCCTGGCTTGGTACAAAAGGACCCAGGTTCTGTAACCATTCTGGAAGCTGGTGAGGTCTCCTTGCAAGACTTCACATCGCCATGGTAGCCCTTATTCTATGCATATTCGTAGCCTTAACTATTCATTTAACGGTTAGAGGACACTGCCATGCTAACAGAGCTATGAAACTCCTGACCAGATTGAAACAACAGTTGGAAGAAATGGGTAAATGTGCACTCACTCTTGTAGCCATATTCAAAGCAAATTGAACAATGCATAAGTCTGAGCAATGGCTTATAACTCCTCTTTGATTATGATCTGTAAATATGTTGTTTTGTGTGCTCTTAAGCATTAAGGCTAGGCTTATCCTTGAGGAACCAAATTTATCTCTGCTGATGTGACATGCGCATCTGAATACAGTGCAATGGGAAAGCTACCTGCTGCCATCTCAGTATTAGAACGTTCAGCCATTCAGTGTGTGCTGTTACAGCATATGGAAACAGGCAGATGTCTGCATCTGAAATATAAATAGATTAATGGAAGCTTTTCTCTATCTTACATTAACAGATGTTAACGTAAGGAATTGAAATTAAAGCGAGCTTACTTGGAGATGCATAGAACTTGGAGGGGAAGTTAAATTTATGGTGCTAGCTGGAACCTCAAGAATTTCTCAATCAGAATATTAAATTAAATTCTAAGGCACGCTATTTTTGAACGATCAGTTAAAAAGTTACACATACATTTTTTTGAGTTGCATTTCAGTTGCGTTCCAGGACTGTATGTTGAGGAAATACTTCTCGGAGTAGACGGTGGCAGAATTTGCTGGGTGAATGTGTCCCTTGGTTTAGGAGCTTAAGATGAGCCAGACCTACAGCAAGGGCAATTGGCCAAAAGGCTAGGACAGGTAGGAAAAGCCAAGACCTCATTTATGGTAGAGATGTGTATTTTTATATGTAATATATAGATTATTTAAATGTAGACTATCTTAAACTGAGATTCACTGAGAAAAAAAAAAGTGTGCTGTATCTTGAATGTAAAATTACAATCATTTGCTATTGAAAAGTATTGATGCTTTAAAAAAATCAGAACTATGTTGGCAATGGAAGAAGAGCTTCGTTTGAAAGAAGCACGGCCTCAGTTTCCGAAAGAAAAAGAAGTGTATTGATATTTTTGAGAGTTTGTTTCATGCTAAAACCATTGCTGTGTTATAATGTTGCACTGATGAGTTTTCTGTGCAGGTAGTACTTCTTCACTCAGTATTGAATATTGTAAGCGGCAAGCTATCCCTATTTATGCAAACATTTAAATTAGTGGAACTGCTTATTTGTCAGGGACTTCAAGATTAGGCAGTAAATAAACTCACTGTTTAAAAGAAAAAAAATAAAATCAGCCATTTGAACTGAAGGCTTGCTTTTTGTAAGTATCATCAGATGTGTAATCTATTTTTTTAACTTAATTTTCCTTGCAGTTGCACTTTGTAGTTGAGCGCCAGTTTACTGAAGGACGAGGGCGTGACCCCTGTAGTACAGAACGCTTTTGGGGAGTAACAAAGCCGCTCGCGCTCCCCGAAGTGCCGCGCTTCCTTTGCAGCTCCAACCATGCCCATTGTGCCCGGCGGGGTACGGCCAGACGAACCTGGCTGCTGTGGAACGATGCCACCGTGGTGGCCGCTCTCGCCGTGCCGGAGGGGTGGGCTGAGGGGGAAGGTAAGAGCCTGCGCCTTGGCACGGAACTGCGGAGCAGCCGGCACGCTGCGAGCTCACGCCCGGCTTTGTCCACCCCCACCCCAGGCCTTCATCTGCCTGTGCTTTTACTGTCCCTGCAAAGTGTCTGGGTTAGCTCCGACTGCTTTACCTGGCCTGGCGTCGTATTTTTGGGATTTCTTTAAACAGCGTGGTGCCAGTTTGTAATAGTTTTCCATTAGCCTTACTTTTAAGGAAAGGTATTTTTGCCTTCAAAAATGTCACCTTTGGAAGCAGAGGTATAAGGCAAGGCTTATTTTTGTAAGTAAGTTGCTGGGGAGGAGCTTAAAGTAGAGCACAAATCTGCAAGCTTGCTCTTCTTAACTGCACTTTGCAGATGTGCTGGTACCTTGCACCGAGCGTATGCAGTAGACAAATTGTATGTAATGGTTTTCTGCCTTCTTTTAAGGCATGATTACAGAGGACAATTAAAGTGTCTATCTTGTTTTCTGTAATATTGCTGCCTGTTTATAACCGTGTATCTGAATTTTACTTTTGTCGCTCTACACCGACATAATAAAAGAAGTCCTTGTAAACTACATGACCTAGAAATAAAGAAGGAAAAGTTTAATGAACTTTTGCCATCTGAGTGGTCAGTAAGGTGAGAGTTGGGGGTCTCCTCCCAGGGGGGAATGCGCTTGTGGGTTTCTAGCCCCAGTCCTGCCCGCCTGTCAGTAATGGTAAGGAGAAAGTTTCTCAATCAGTGTTCAGTTCTTAATTGTAATAATCTCAGAATTTGTACAAGAGAAAACTCTTGTTTAAACTCAAGCAACGCTTTCTGAGCAAGAATGTTGACAATATTTTTTTTCTCTGTTGAGGCACTTAGTAAGCTTATTTCTCACAGATGGCTGAACCCTGGGGGAAGTTTAATTCTCTTCTTGATTAAAAGTGGAGTTGGTGGTTTGGTTTTTTTTTTTTTTTAATCTACGCATACAAGTGATTGATAGTGTCCTGTTTTGGTTAAATACGTGCAGCTCTGCCTTACAGTTTGTCCTATCGTAAGACAGCGTGCTGATGGCGTGGATTTAAAACCTGGTCTGCAAAACCTGCCAGCCCAGTGAAACTGCTGAAGTTGCTGACATCAAGTTGCATCAGCTTACACCAAACAGCGCATCCTTAACGACCCAGTGACAAACTGCATGACACCTGTGCTCCTGTAATAATATTTCATTACTATTTTCTCCTGTTAAAAAAAAAAATGGACGTGTGCCATACTGCCAGCTTTTTTTTTTTTTTTTTCCCCTCTACCACCATTTCTGTGCCCCCAGGGGAGAAGGGCTGTTCGCACGCTCCCACAACTGGAGCTGTGTACCTGCACGCCCATGATTCCAAGTTTGCCCCCTGTCATGTCAGGCACAGAAAGAGGCGGTGCTGTAGGGTAGAGGGGGGTTACTGCAGCCATACTGAAATTTGGGGGAAATTGCTAAGGAAAAGAGCAAGTGCAAGGAGTTGCCTTCCCCAGGGGGTTAAAGGCTTCCACGCAGCTGCAGGAAGTGCCCTGAAATATTCATTTCTCTGCCTCTGGGTGGCCTGGGTTTGGCCGTGGGGACTGCTGTGTGCCATAGCTGGCTGGGGATACACACATATCTTTGTTTGGGGGAGGCGAGAGGGGAAGTAGGTATAGAAAGAAGGCTTTACTGTCTTGAAACAGGAATATGTATGATAGTATTGTGAGGTATTTTATTCCCTTTTGTTGTGAGCAAAGCTGTAAGCCGTTCATACATCGCACACAGGTAAGCCATTAACAAAGTAAGTGAAGAGCCAGGTGAAGAAAAAAGGGGGGTGGGGGGGTGGAACTGTCCCAGCTTCATTTCCCGTATCTCAATCCAGGCCCCCTCTGCCTAGAACTGCATGTCCCCAAATTGCAATAGAAGTGTTTCCAGCACCCTGTACTTCCCTTTAGGGCAGTTTTACATCACCCTTAGGATGAAGTGTTCCTTAAAATATAAGGAAAAGCACCTTAAGTTTAGTAGGCAGCTTATCCAAAGTAATGGTGTTTGTTAGCTAATGCTAAAGCCAGGTATATGAAACGGGTATTTCCACTGCTGGTTGTAGCTGTCGTGCTCTGGATCCTGAGTGCTGGGGCAGGGGGGAAAGGGAGAGACTGAAATTCCAACAAGAAACCGAAAGGACATGTAGCAGGCAGGATGAAACCTTGGGGCCTCAGTAGCACCCCCAGCTGATAGCAATTTAGTTACCGAAACACTCCACAACTTCATCACAAATAGCTGCAGTTCTCGTAGCATACAGCTTTTCTTTCACGTTTGTAAAACAAACAGCAGAACGTCACCACAGCCTTTAATTTCTTCTTGTACAGACCATTCACAGTACATTAACAGCCCAAATAATATTGCACTGGATTATTTTAAAAAATTTTCGTCTCGCGAGTAGTATTCACTTTTCAAAGCCAACAGATGAACAATTTGGTCAAAACTTGCACCAAGAAAATGGTTAGGTAGGAATCCTAGACGTTTATTTATACTGCATGGATTTGTAACCCCAAGGGGAAATGAGCATGAGCTGTAAACGGTTTCCTTGTTAAAGATAGAAAATTAGTAATTCCTTGCTGATTAAATGTAGAAAGACTGGGGGAAAAAAATGAAATCTGAAAGTTATCTCATTCCTGTTAGACTGCTTGCTGTATATATAATTATATTCTATACTGTGAAAGTCCATCTACATTTAAAAATCCAGCAGTCTACAGATTAACATGGTAAAAAAAAAATATATATTTTTATGAAAAGAGAAGAAATAGTATTTGCCTCAGAGGATAAAGTTTTCAGATTGTGAAGTCTTTTTTTTTTTTTTTTTTTTTTTTTTTAGGTGCAATCTTTGAGGCAACAAAATGTCTTTTGGCATTTGGCACTCTAATAAAGACAATATTTTAATACTGGCACAAGCTAAAAACAGCACAGAATGACAAAATACAAGACATGAAACGAACCGCAGCCACTGGGATGATGGTAAGCTAGTTGGAACATATGGAGAACTTAAAACAGTTTTGCTGAGGAATTGTGAACGTTTCTGCAAAACCAGACTTATTTTTTTTTCTTTTCTTTTACCAAAGTGTAAGTTTTACTAAACTTGGAGGGAGAAAAGAGTTTCAAACGTCCTCTAGAAAATCAGCAGCTGCTGGACAATCGACAGGGCGGCTTGTTCAGCCATCAATAGGCGTGAGGCTCTTTGTGGCTCAGAGCTCGAGTGCGTGAGGCAGAGCTGGTGGCACTTCGGATCACTTCCATCCACCTGTGAGGGGGCAGGAGGAGAGACACGAGCAAAAGAGGGGTCAGTTCCTAAGGAAAGGTTTCTTGAAAGTTAGAGCCTGTGCTATTACTTGTACACAGTTTTATTGTCGGTGCCTATGGGAGGATCTTGCTCGCTGCTTTGCTCCTAAGCCTATCCGAAGTCAAGAGGCCCTAGATCCAAATCACTGCCAAGCACATATATGAAAGGAGGTTTAGAGAGGATAAAAACAGGAGGAATGGGACGCAAACCTCACAAATTTCATAGTGGTTTTACTTGTTCTGCAGACACCAAATCTCTTTTTTTTTTTTTTTTTTTTTTTTCCTGGATTGCCCAAGTGATGAGCAGTTGAAACCAACTGCTTGATTCTAAAGTGAAAAAATGTAATTTAGCTGCAGTTCCTACTTGTTCCCAGAACTGAGAAAGGGCTTTTGTGGTTTTTTCCTATTCTGCTCATTTATATAATCACCTCTTTCCCACAGTTTGCCTTGTTTATAGTTTTAGACTGCCATGGCTAATACTTAGTAATAGGTTTCTTCAATAAGAGAGGACATTAAGACTTTTGACATGTTAATGCTTCCCATAAAAGAGCTAAATTAGTTCCCGGTATGAACAACCTCAAACCACAATTTAGGAGGAGCAGTGCCTGTTTCCTGGCTCTCCACGTATCTGAAATTCAGCGGGAGCTGTAACAATTACATCCTGAAGTGGCAGAAACACTTTGTAAGAACAGCCGCTTCCGTGGAAAAACGAGAACTTTATTTCACGTGTGGATTTTCCACCCAGATGTACTAGAGGGAGTGAAGTTATTCTGCACAGTTACTGAAAAGTCTGGTGACCTGTTGAGGTGCTTCCTGAAGCCCGATACGTAGAGCTCCCCGCGCAGCCAGCCTGGCCAATTTTGGTAATTCCTGACTGTAAGGGCTCTCACCTGGATCAAACCAGCTGTTTACCTCATTCTCTTCAGCCAGCGCAGAAGCTAATAGCTTAATCTGTAAAGCTTAATACCCAAAGTCTGGTGGTCCTGATTTATCTGCTATAAATTAAAGGTTCTTGAAAACGTTTTGTTTTCACCAGGCTTGGAGAAACGCTAAAGCCTTTGCTTTACATCATCCCGTTCTCTGATATGTGGACTGCTGCCTCCTTGCCCTAAGGTACAGGTGCACTCCTTCATTTTCTGTTACCTCATTACTCTGGAGGATATCATAAAAGGACAGGCTTTGCATTCGGTACCGGCAGACATATGAAACGGAAACAGGATTTGTAGTGATCACTATTACAGCTCCCACGTTATCAAAGCCAACCACTTGGTTCTAGTGTTAGCAGGTTTAAAATTTCTTTTAAAATGTTAAAGGGTCCTTTCTCTAGTTGTGCTGAATTACTTGCCTGTATCACTAAATCAATTTACTAAACTACTACTACTTCTTCTACTAACCTGGTTTGGAAAAAATCCTGGAATTTTACAAAATTCCCTCTCACAGAAGACGGACTTACCTTTCAAATGTGTATTCACTTTCAGCCCTGAAGTAGTACACGTGGGATTTGAAATGTAGCTTGAAGACATAATCTTTGTGAATGTTTTCCGATTCAGAAGGAATGGTAAGGGAGTATCCCAATAAAGGAAGGCTGGCTAAAGGATGATTGTCCTGCAAAGAAACGATGGAAAACACTGTGAGATCAAATGCCCTTAGGGTAAAAAGAGCCCGTAAGTAAAATGGAAGACAGATACACGCTCATTTAAAGGTCATCATCGCGTTTCCGCACACGCGTGGAAAAAATGCCAGCTTTATACAATGGTAATGGTCCCAGCTGTCTGGTCGTTTCAGCTTGCCCATCTTTAGAGACCCTTCGCAGAAGGATCCGCTGTGTGCTGACCCTATTTCCTCATAAGAAAGCTACCTGAAACCTTGGACTTCCACTATTTTCAAACTGACAAACATAAAACTCCATCATTTGGCACCGGCAGCACGCCACGCATGTTCATCCCCAGCTTGCAAATACCTACTCCTTTAGAAATGTAGCGGCCACCCCACAGCTTTCACTGCTCAAGTCCTTTGACTTCACGGCATGGCACCTATGAGCAAATCATTTTTTTATCCCGCTTTTGTGTAGACTATCCTACAATTCATTCCTTTATTTTTCTTAGTGCCGAAACTCTGTTGTTAAAGATTTCTATAGCAACAAAAGGGCAAGGTAGCAATTGGAATTGTTTTGTGCTTACACCCTGCTTGAACACAGAGATTCAAAAGTCCAACAGGTTCTAGACAAGGAGAACCCTACTGCTGCAGCGCCATGTTTGCCCAGACGGATTCATCACGGGCCGCTGTTCTCTCTTGGTTGACTTAAGCGTCAGTAGTGGTAAGCACAAGTCACAACTGAGTTTTCAATTGCCATAATCTCGGAATTCATCCAAGAGAAAACTCTTGTTTGGACTCGCGCATCACGATTTCTGAGCAGCAGTGACACCCATTGTACTTTTAGGGATGACGTGCGCTGTGACTGTCGCAAGCTTCGGGAAACAGGCACGCGCGTTCTTCAGCCGACAAGCGAGGAAGCGGAGAATGGGCTCTGCTCCGCGTTCCAGCGGCAGGGGGAGGGAAAAAAAGCCGTGACCAGCGCCACCTGCTTCTCTCGCCTACAGCATCCGCAGCCGACGTCCGCTCTTCTCTCTGCCTCTGCTTTGAGAAAAACCCCAAAGGTCTTCTCCAGCCCCCACACGCACTTGTGCGGTCTCTCACCTGGTGCGATTTGTAGAAGAACATACAGAAGTTGGTGAACACCACCCAAAGCTTCTGCCACCCGTTGCTGTTTTTGAATTTTCTTAGGAGGTTTCCAGACAGCTGGTTCTGAAACAGATCAAAGGTAGCCAAATAAAACAGGGAAAGGTACCTGCAGTTTAATTATCGTAAGAAAAATTATCTGCTTTTATCTGGTTTTAGGTGACCTTGCTGTACGTGAAAATACTTCAGCTGAATGGACGTATTTTTCTTCTGCACTTTTCTACTACCCTGTAGTACTTTACTTAACACATTTTTTGGTTTGTAGCTGGGTACTTCCAAAAACTTCAAGCTACTACACTAATTTTTTTTAACTGAGGTGGCTTTCCGTAATGCATTACCAAGCATCAGTCAGTCTTGTTACCCTAGGCTGTCTTTGTTCTTAAATGACACTTAAATAGAGTAATGGAAACAGAAAGTCTGACATGAATTTGTGATGTAAAGGAAAATTATGGCATACTTTAGAATTGCAGATAGAGACTGAGCTCTCAGTACCCAGCGAGTTCACACGGTAACTTTTCAAAGATTTCAAAAGCAAGGACTGTTAACCTTATTCTTAGCTGCTCTTCACACAGTGAAGATGTAAAAGCCAGCATCGCCGTGCCTTGCAAATGACGGGGAGTTCATTAATTACTTCCCATTCCTTGCTGACTGTAAGGGCTCTCACCTGGATCAAACCAGCTGTTTACCTCATTCTCTTCAGCCAGCGCAGAAGCTAATAGCTTAATCTGTAAAGCTTAATACCCAAGGTCTGGTGGTCCCGATTCATCTGCTATAAATTAAAGGTTCTTGAAAACGTTTTGTTTTCACCAGGCTTGGAGAAACGCTAAAGCCTTTGCTTTACATCATCCCGTTCTCTGATATGTGGACTGCTGCCTCCTTGCCCTAAGGTACAGGTGCACTCCTTCATTTTCTGTTACCTCATTACTCTGGAGGATATCATAAAAGGACAGGCTTTGCATTCGGTACCAGCAGACATATGAAATGGAAACGGGCCGCTGATCACTGATCAGTCCAGCAGGTAGGGAAGTACAGTCACTGACAGAGAGAGGATCTGCTACCACGAGAGAGACAGAAAGGAGGGAGAGACACAAAGAAAATGAACGACCATGCTGAAGTGAGAGCCCCCGACAGAATGATGTGAGCATGAGCGTAACCTGCCACGCATGGAACAGCGGCGGAGCTGAGGGTGTTTTCACAGAACCACCTATGTCTCCAGGGCGCGTTTGGTCTTCGCTGCTTTGTTCGCATTCACTTAAGGCACGGGGAGGAACAAAAACAAGGAACAGCGAGCACTGATCTCGGACCAAAAGTTTTGCCTAACTCAATGTTTTAATCGTTACAATTAGTCACCGGTTCAAATTTTGTATCTATTTATAACAAGCCCTCTGCTTTAGGGAAAAACACGAGACCTTGTTCCATGCCAAACTAACCCTCCCTGGCAGGATAAAAGGGCACAATAAAGAGCAGAAAATCCACCTGCGTGGGCTCCGCACGAGGCTCCACGGTTAGTGCTCTCTACTACAGAATAATTTTCCTTGCCACATTTCAGCAGCTCACCCTCTGCTTAAAAGCAGCGGCAGTTGCACAGCTATGAATATTGCCTGTCCTTGCACCTCTACGTCCCGCGGCAGCGCATCTTCTCTAGAGCAGCGGTGGTCTGATCATCTGAGGGCTGCCTCCTGAGCAGAAGCCAACTCGGCTTTAAGACTCCTTTCACCATTTTCTATAAGCATAAATTTCCATTTGATGAGGACTGTGATAAAGTAACTCAGAGCTCCCTGGAACCTCTCGTGGGTGAAGGAAGAACACCCATGCAGGTTTCCACCTCACCCTAAACCCTACGCTGAAGTAGGAGCCTTTCATTTTAATCTTTGAAAAGTCAATGTCTGCACCTCGTCTGTCGAGTACGGAGTTAAGGAACGTGTAACCAAATTGGCATAGCTGTGATCGGGGGCGGGGGGGAAAGGATTTTTATTTTGAGGTGGAAAACGCAAATAAAGAAAAAGCAGATGAGACTGAGCAATAAGACAAGGTTCCAGAAAAGATGGCTAGGTAAAGAAAGTACATTAGTAATAGACATAATTGGAGACTCTGGCTGCAGCAGCTAAAGACAATATCCTTTCAGCTCGAGCAATGACTTAATGCCTCTGTAACTGAAAGCATTAAGACGGTTTGACCTGCTTTAAATTTTACAGGGCATCAGCATTTTTTTGGACAGTTACTTTAGGAAAATTACTGCTCTAACTGATTTTACAAAGATGCACTAAGGGAGTGGACACGCGTGTCTTGACTGACGGTTTATGCCGTCGCTTGGAGCCAGTTAAATGGGTGTGCCTGAAACGGCCCCGGCAGGAGGCAATGCAACAGTGCGCTTATTAAGGAGGAGCAAAAAGGAAATTGTCATTCAAGAGCGAGTCTGGAGCTGCAGCTGAGATCGTTCTGAGGCAGATACCTCCACAGCAATACTAAAGTCGATCATTGAAACGCTGGTATTTCTGTGCCAGCAGACGTGCACCGTAGTGTTGCCACGGTGTGGTGACTGACGTTCAAGTGAGGTGCGGGAGGCACTGAGGTCGTCCTCAGATTCCTGGTCTACAGTAGTTTCATCAGGAGACTCTATGAAATGCAGGGAAAAAGCATCTTTCTTCCTCTATGCAACAACACATATAACTGGAAAAATGAAACAAAGCAATTCTGCCCACAATATTGCGAAGTAATTTTAAACCCCACTTTTAGAAATAATTTTGTGCAGATGCTAAGTAGATTTTTTTTTTTCTTTTTTTTTAATGTGTTTCTACAAGCGTTAGGATCAAAGACTAACTACCATGCTTTGTTGGTGCTTTTAATACCTTCCAAGGACAGGCACTGCCCAAATCTTGTTAAATAGTTCCTGGAATCATTAGGCTTAAGTCACTTCTCTATTCAGTGAAACTTTCTGCTAACATCAACAAGAACGTTAAAGTGGCACATACATATATATATATATATATTTATATATATATAAAAAAAAAAAATCAACTTCCAATGTGTCGGTTTGACCTGTGGCCAGCATTTTTCACCGCTTTGCTCAGGAGCAATCACCAGCGATACTGATGGAAGCAAATAAACCCCGCTCTCTAGTGTTTACTTACTATTGTCAGGTGGGCTGCTAGCCAGTAACTCCGGGGCAGGGCCACTGCTTTTCTCTGCCAGGTCTATTGCCATCTGAACGTCCTCAGTCCATTTGTCCATTTCAGCGCGGGTACTAACAATGAAAATTCAGGTTTTGTTCACTTTCATACAGGCTGAGAGCAAACTCTGAGAAATAGTCACAAGCTGAGCTGACTTTTAATTTAAATTAATAAATTCAGACACAAGATGGTAGGGTTTTTTCCTAATAACTTAGTTTTGGTTCTGAGTTGCACAGTTGCCACTCTGTTCTGTCCCATTCACCTTCCACGAAGGAAAATACCCTTGAAATTGTTTTAGGAGCAAATCCACACAAAATGACGCCTCTCTGCTTTTCTATCTGTCCCACAGCGAAAGCTGCAGAGAAATACAGTTTATGTGTGTATGTTGTCTCCATTGAATTACCTGGCAGCAACAACGATGGACTGGTGCTGACCTCGTAGTGTTAGACAGTGAGGGACCCCCCATTCCTCTTCGCTTTCTTCTATCTGAGAGATAAAAGCCCAAATGCAGTCAGAGTGCAGGGAGTACACATTTCTTAGGGTGAAACAGTGAACTGAACAAGCTCTTACCATTGGGGGGGAAGAGGGGGGCGCGGAAAAAACTAAGAGAAATGTTCACAAACAACCATTTTGAGCTAGGGACTGAGAAAAAAATGATGGCTTGCCGGGGGGGAAGAGGGGGGAGGGGGGCGTGGAAAAAACGAAGAGAAATGTTCACAACCAACCATTTTGAGCTAGGTACTGAGAAAAAAATGATGGCTTGCAAGTTGGGAAAAAAAAAAAAAAAAAGAAGTTCTGCAATAACCTCTTAAACCAAAAGCGTGGCTTTGTCTGCTTTGTGTCAAAAAAAAAAAAAAAAAAAAAAAAAAAAAAGAAAAAAGGAAAATAGTGGTATTTTTAACAGGAGAGCAATTCTTCATACAAAAGGATACGTTAAATGCTGGGAGGGCTCTGGACACTGCAGCGTAACACAGTTCTGTTGCGAACAAGTCCATGCCAAGTGGACATCAATAATCGAGTAGATTCCTAGAAACGCTAGGGTAAAACTGGAAGCCTCGCAGGTGTTTAGAGGAACTCAGTTACTGCGGGAGTGAGTACCTAACTCGATTCTCAGGAAAACAGTACAGAATAGATACAAACCCATGAGAAGTTCCAGTGAAAATAATGGGGGCAATGAAAGTGTTTTGGAACTGGCAAAAAATATTTTTGGAATCATATAAGGAGAAGCAGTAATGAGGTCCTATTGGCTCGAATTGGTGGCTTTCCAGAAGAACTGCAACAAGAGCTCCAAACGGCATAGTGCTACCGGTTTCCTATTAGTTGGGCTTTAAGATACAGAGCTGAAAACATTAGGAAATGCTTTTTTTTATAGAAATTAGATTGTCGCTACTGTTTACTTGCCTGGCACGGCATGTCTATAAGCAATTGGCGATGAATTACTTGTAAGAATTGTGGTTAACTTTATGGTTTAAAAAAATAAACCCCCCATCTTACAAGAAGTTTGCATTAGGAGGAAGCTGCCCCCGAAAATGCCTTTCCTCCCCCCTCCACTTTTGCTATATAATCACCTTTGTGTAGAAGGCTGCATGAACAAATACCGAACCCAATGCAGCCCCAACAGGCACTGCAGAACGTAACCACAACGTCTCCAAATCAGAGAGCAGCCCTTTGCTGCTGCTTTCAGTCCAACAGAAATCCATCGAGCGATGAAGATGGGACCACAAATGGCCATGTAATCCCTTAAATTTACACAATACTTACTGTCATGCCATACAGTGGAAGATGCCCGTGGACTTTAAACTGATTTGATGCTGTCAGGCCTCTACTTGTGTACAACAAAATATCGTTAAACTAAAAAGCAAGAATAAGCATTATTAGAATTTTGTCGGCATGTATGCATGTAGAAAAAAAAAAAAATTGGAATTATAAATACGGGAAACTCGCCAGTACTGGCTGGCTCTTTACATGGCAGTCCTAACGCATGAACCCAAAATACTGGCCTCCACAATATTTCAGTACCTAGTATTAGCATCTCTTATTTTCCCTGCTTTCCTTTCCTGTTAGTCTCAGGTATGCTCCCGCAATTTTCCACTGGCTATCTTCCGATACCTTCTAATATTCCTTTTTGTCATGTCTGGGGCAGAACTAAGAAGCCACGACAGCAGTGAAACCAAGTAGCGCGTTTCACGCTCTGCCGCACTTTGGATCTATGGAAGATTAAGTGCGTTTCACCCATATTTTCTTCTGATTTGCGTGGAGAGAGAAGCAAGGATGCCCGAGAGAGGCGTGTCCAGCTTAACTCCAACGATGTAAGTGGCTACCCACTGTTCCCCATATGCAGACAGAAGCTGGGAGACCTGGTTTAAGGTAGGCAGCTTTAGGTTAGAAACACCTAAGGGGAAGAGACCGAACATCTCACTTTGCGGAGCTCCCTGCATGTAACAGTGGTTGTCAAAAGCAGGTCAGACCGCCTGCATTTTGTTGAGGGCTGAAACAGGAATGGCGTATTTTCCCTTGGCCACCTGGGTCAAGGGATGTTTCCCCACACACCAGACTGTTGCATCAAGAAAAATCATACTCTGCGGTGTGAAACAGAGCTCTCCCAAAGACATCTACAACCCAATAGCAACAACTGAGGAAGCGCTGTGGATCGGCCACTAGAGGGGGATTTAATTTTGCCAATGATTATACAGGTATCTGGAGTCACAGAATACCGACTTGGGATTTTACCTCCAAAAAGATTCTGTTGCTTGAGACAGACCAAAGACTTCTTTGACAGCGCGAGCAACTGACTTGAGAGTCTAGTCTCCATATTTCATGTTTTCTACAGGTACAATATCGAGGTATCCTCTCGGAACAAGAATTGTGGTATGCAAGCAAATATGACCCATATTCACACCAGGCTTCCTCTTTAGTGCCTTTAAAGGCAGAGGACAATCCTACCCAGGTAGATTTAGTGGTTCTACCTTTGGCTCATTTGAAAGATTAATTGTCAAGCATCTGGTAAAACCTGGCACACTCAGAAGCTTTTCTACACACCCACTGCCATCGCCTTTTGTGTACAAGAAGCCAAGAAAGAATCTTCCTGCCACACTGTGCTGACTCTTTAATGTTTTGCCCTGTAACACCGGACTAGAAAATCTATGCGCTCTGCTGGGCACCCCTGTGCCCCAGCACCAAGGGCTGAGCAGCAGCAGAGTGGGGGGCCTGGGAGCTGGCTGGGAAGAAGAGAGAGGAGGAACCATCTGGTTGGCTCTTGAGGATCAGAGACTGAGTGAGATTGCCATAACCTGAAGATGCTGGGAGTGATGGTGGGAAGAGACAATCTTTCCTAGTGCAAGAGCTCCAAAAACTATCCCCAGGCACAGGTGTATCTGTCAACATGCTGGGCACTTGTGGGCTGAAACTGGGTGGTTTGTGGAGCAACTTGGTTCTGTACTGTGTCCTGAGAGCATTACGCAGATTGTTGTTCATGCCACCAGGAGTTACTCTTTATCATCTTTTCTGGACATGATCACTAGCCCTGGTGCCACTTTTCACTTTATAATGACTCTGCTTTTATTTAAGACAATGTGCTAGGAGGTATTATTTTATCACAATAGTGATACTTTATATGATCACAGTGCCATATAAAAATAAATAGTTTATCTTTGTAAGAAGCAATTACAAAGAGAATATTGGGTTAGGACAGAAACATAAGCTCTTAACAACCAGCTACATAGGTGATATATTTTGTTAACTTAAATAAAGCTGTTTTAAAAAAAACTTACTGTAATTCACAATTTGAGTCTAACAGTTTGCCTGATAGTGGCCTGTAGTTACATCTCATTACATCAAGAAAAAAATGTCTTCTTGCTTACCAGGAAGAACATCCGTTGCTGTAAACCTTTCCCAGACAATTTACTAAGACTGCCCAGTCTAATGAACTCCTGTGGGAAATAAATACAAAACAAATATGTATCTTCTGCAAAAATAATGATGGTTTTTTGTTATGCAAATAGAAATATGACTACTTGGTCATAGGACTGGCTTGACTATCAGTCACCAAGACCTTTAATTTTCTTTATTAAATATGTTAAAAATCTTACTTACAGCATAATTTCTTTCCATTCATAACTGCCTTTAGGATAAATTCCTTCATAGTCTTTCATTCATTTTAAGAAAATTCAACTAAGCAAAATTTTCTTTACCTAACATCGATTCCTGCAGACAGCTCATCAGTCTTGAATGCATATTTTTCATGTTACAAATGATGTAAAAACCAAGGGTAAGTTGGCCCGTATGTTATTGGTTAGCCACTGGTGAGCTTCTTTTGCGCGTATGGCATCCACAGCTCTTCACCGAGATGTAAAATCAGCCACACAAAGCAGCATCACCATCAGCAGCAGAAAAAGAAGGAAGCTTGTCTGGCAGCATGAGTTATCCCTAGTACTATCCATGTTGTATAGTACAGTACATTAATTCAGATCAAACTGTTTAAGAATGTTTAGGGATGGAATTATAGGAAAAGTAGCACATGTGAAACTTTCAAAACGCTGGATTTCCTGGGCCTACTGTGAACTATACCGTAACTCACCCTTATCTGAAACCTGTGAAAATATCAGTTTTTCAGTCACTCCCTCCAGCTTCTTCCGAGAGGTTTATATTTATTTATTACAGTCTTTCAAAGGTCATTCTACTCATAACTGTGTATGTAAAAGGCACATAAAGCATCAGAATCACCTGCAGCTTAGCAATAAACTGGATGTCGAAGATTAATCTGTTCAGAGAGACACTCTGGTCGCCTTAGGGTTGCTGTGATGTGTCCAGTCCCCTACCTGCACTGTGTAAGGGCCAAGGGGTGGAAAAAGTGGCTAGAGGTGGTTATCCCCGTATCATGGTGAGCTCATGTTACCAGAGAGGCCACTGGAAGCTGTTGCCGGCCACCAAAGGATATTAAATCTTACTTGCTACTTATACGGTACCCCCTAATGGTCGCTAGCAGGCTTAGCACCACCACGGCAAGCGCCACGCGAATGCACGCATCAAGAGCTGCAGGTCATCGCAACCTGGAAGCACAACCAACCATGGGATGTTTTCATGTCTCCTATGGGAGCCAGCTCGGTGGCAGCAGAGACCCCAGCCCGGGGCATTGTGAATAGGATGGTTACCTACAGCCCCCTTTAGGACAGCTGAATCACCAGCCTAACAAGAGGCTTCTCCTCTGAGACACGGAGTTCATCCACCTTCAGGTAAACCCAGCTATGGCTAACAGGAGCGGTCGCCTCCCAGCCCAGCCTGCGCTGGGGCAGGGACTTCAGCTGGAGCCAGCAGAGCAGCCAAAGGGCTGGAAAGCAGCGATACCTTGGGCCTGCGCCCAAGCGTGGTGGGCGATGCTTTTTGCCTTGGCAGGCAAACAACCTCTGTGCCACCTCTGCGCCACCTCCGCCTTTTTCTTGAACTTCCTCACAGAGGAAGACTGCTCTGTCTTTTAAGAGAATAGGGTAGCAGAAAAAAACAGCATTTAATTTTGTGGGACAGAGATGCACGGGCTGTGAAATGTCCCGCGGGGCTTGCCAAGGACGCGAATGGCCTGTGGATCACTGGAAGGAGGCACAAGCCGTGGCAGCAGCTTGGGAGACAGGGAAGAGGCCAAGTGAGGGAGCGGGGAACAGCCAGAAACCGAGCAATACCCATGCTCGGCGCTGCCTGCCCAGTGGCACATCAACTTCAGCCCCCTTTTTCTAAATGTTTGAATCCTTAAACAAATTGGCCCCTCGAGAGCCCAGCAAGCTGCCCCTCTGCCAGGATCCTGCCGTGGCGCTGGACACGGGCACGGCACAGCAAGCAGACCCCCGGCTGCGGCTCCCGGCCAGCCCGCGGGAGAGCGTCGGGGCTGCACGGCCGGGCTGCAGGGCAAGTTCAAGCGCTGCCGTATTTGCAGTTCAATGCAAAAACTCTTTTTTTTTTTTTTTTCCAAGCTGTTTCCCAGAAATGCATAAGGGGTGAGAACAGTCTAGCAATGCATTTTCCCCGGCATTTCAGTAAGGAAGAGATGTTGGTATTTTTGTAACACAATTAGAAGTGTTTACTTAAGGCAACGCTGCCTCAAAAAAATACTGCCTAACATCACATGCAGACTGCTCGTCCCCAGGGCCATGAGTTTCAGAGCTAAGCATCACAGAAGGGCTGAAGGTCCTCCTGCAGAGATGTCTTACTTGCCTTTAATCTGCTGTGCTCTAGCATCGAGGGTTGGGGAAAAAAAAAAAATAAGGGCAGCAAGAAATGAGGAAACATGCAGTTGCTCAAGCTCTGAACACTATGGCAAGTATTACATTTTTACTGCCTCTGTTATAACAGCTGTTTGGAATTGCCTATGACTGTCCAAATCTATACATAAGATAAACCTACTAAAACCAGTAAAAAGGTAATAAAGACGATTGCTCCTTCCCACTTTAAAGGCTGCTGTTTTGTTTTGTATTATGATGTTTACACTTAATAGTTTTTGGTGAGAGAAAAAGGTTCATATAAGGAAAGGGAATTTCACAGCTGCTCCTAACAAACAGGTTTCTAAAACGTACCTAATGCTTTGAAATCGTATCAGACCTCGATCACAACTCTGCTACTTACCCTTCCTGGGATCACCAGATTGTCTATGCCTATCAAGTCTTTCTTGAGTTCATGCAGCTTCTGGAAGTTCTCCATCTTTATCATGTTGCCATGGAGCTGAGCCACCATTTCAGAAATCTCAGCCAAAGCAGCTAGATGGACACAACCATAAAACGCTTATTAAAAACTCACATGAATGTTCAAAAAGAAAGATGGCTTTTGTCTGCAGCACCCAGCTCATGAACATTACCCTTCTTGTGCTACCCTTCTCCTCCACAGCGTAAAGCTATTTGGGCAGACTAAAAACCACACAAACTCTGGACATGGTCTCACGGAGTGGAGGGGAGAGGGTGGAGAGTTGTGATGAAGAGACAGCCTATTTCATCAGCCAAAAGTTTGCTCTGTTTTAGCCACAGGAACTTTGTTGGAATACTCGAGTCAATTCAGAGCACCAACGAACGGGTTCTCCTAAAGGACTTAATTTCCTACATCTCCAATTAATCTAGGGATCTTCTCTATGCTTGAAAAAACTGCATTTTTTCCACAGCCTGCACCACGTTGGGTCAGGTCTGTATTTGAGAACACCAGGAAATGGCAGTGTCATTGATTGTATCATCTCAGAGGGCAAACCCAGTAATCTTGGGGGTTGTCCCCAGTCCCCGCAATGAGAACAACTGAAAGGGCTGCAGGTCCCCAAGTCGCATCACAGCTCTACTTCATTCTCTCCAAAAAGTCTGCCGACAACGAGTGACCTAACACCTGGGAGTGATTTTCCAAAGGAAAACTGTCGAAGGGGATTTTTGCTGTGTGAAGAAGGATCAGGTGGAATACAAGAGGAAGCAGACACTATGAAGTCCCACTCTGTGGCAGCAGAAGCCAAATCAAGCGCAGGCTGCTGCTGATCTGCTTCCCCTGCCTTGCCTTCTTGCTGTGCCATCTCAGGGAACTTAAGCTGAAAAATCACTTCACCACTCGATCTTTTGTGGGGGACCAGCTCGTGGCTCCCTGTGCCATCATGTACGTGAGCACTAACCTTGATAGACCGAAACAGAGGGGCAGTCTCTGCATGGGCCAAACACACTGACCAGCTGACTTCAGTGCTAGAAGAGCAGTTATGGCCATTTGTGTTAAAAAATATATATACCAGGGAACAGTAACAGTGGTTCTTCCTTCTTACATCATTGCTCAGCGCGCAGTTCATCCACCTGTTAGTGGGAGGCCTGTGCTCTCCGCTGGGATTCACATCCACTTCTCCCCCCCTTTTTTTTTTTGCTTCCTTTACGCTCTGACCTTTAACAAAAATCTGCAGACACCTTAGTAAGAGACTGATCCCAGAACGGCGGTGTCCCTGAGTCACGCTGTCCTTCTCTTATTTTCACCCTTGAATCCTGTGTTTGTATCCATTTCAAAAGTGGAGCACGAGTCTGCACTCTCCGGGGAGGTGGGAACGGCCACCTCCTCCTCCTCTAGCCTTGGCTACAAGAAATGATGGCACTCCCTCGCTGCACTCCTTCAGATCATTCAGGCAGCAGCTACATTTAGGCAAACACCTGCATCATGCCGCACGCTTCAGTGCCACGGACCTCTGCGGCATCTCCTATCGCTACAGGCCAAGTTACCTCCGCATTTTGTGCACTGCCTGCTGTGGGTCCCACCACGGTTGTGTGGAGCATTGCTCCCTGCCTGAGTCCTTCTGCGGATCTGCGCTGAGTACTAATTGTATAGATAACACTGTTATCTTTAAACGTAGATAGCTTACAACAGGGGTGGGGGACGGGGGTAAGAAAGGAGGAAAACAAATCACCAAAAAGAAACAGCAGGCAGTGAGTTCAAACTACAGGAGGAAGATTTCTTCACATTTGGAAAAAACCCCACATTGGCAGCTTTGAGTTCCTGAAACCAATCATGGGAATGGTAACAGAGCAAACTGTATGCCTGGGGAAAAGACAAATAACACTTAAAGGCATAATAACAGCAGCCACACCGGGTCGGACCAAGGGTTCACCTGGGCCAATATTCTGTGTTCCTAGCGGATCTCTAGGGAAAGCGAGGGACAAGACAAGCACACACGGTACGTCCCCTGTGCTCTCTCCCAACCTCCCAACTGTTTTCAGTTCAAGCGACTCCCTGCACTGCACGTCATTTCTGTGTGTTTAATAACCCCCAGCAGACTTCTCTTCCGAGTACTTGTCCAGACTGTGGCATAATGTGTATACAAGAGCAACCTTAATCCTACCATTTATGGTCTTCTGAGTGCTAGATTTTTGCAACTCAATCCTCTTTCAATGTGGGCTTAATAAAAAGATCTTTTTTTTTTTTGTCCAGCCATGCACCTCTAATGGATTTGGATGCCATTGCCCAGCTCCAGGAATCGGTGTCTTTTCTCTAACTTACCTCTTGAATCCCTGAAGTCTACGTGGCTTGGTGGGTAGTGTTTGCAAAGCCTCTCCATTATCTGCTTGTAGTGCATAAGCCTGTGTAAAGGTCTCAGAAGGAAGGTATTGAGAGGCAAGTAGCAGACTTTCTGTAGCTCAAAATCCCTGCAAAAGGTCTCCAGCTTGCGGGAGTTCTTGATCCCGTTCTCCAACTCCATTAAAATCTCATTGTGCTTCCACAGATGAATTGTCAGTTGCTTATATGCAGAAAGAAAAGAGCAGGTAGTAGAGCTATTAGCAATCACTGTGAGACATGACTCAAACCTATTCCAATAAAAAAATTCAACTAGCACAGCAGCTGGGCTTTTGCAAACAAAATCACTGCGCAACACGGTGGATCTGATATTCACTTGAAAAGGAGAAATGGCATTTCTTGTTTGAAGTATACCACCTCCACCCCCACCCCCACTCCCCTGCATTCCCTGTAAAACAAAAGTATGTGAACAACCATCACTAAGTCTGTTATCAGTAAGAAAACCAAAGGCACGGAGATGACATGAACATAGCTCATGCGAGTAGGTGAAACGGAGAGAGCTGTACAATGCGAATGCAGAGCTGGGAAACAAAATGGGATTTCCCAGGAGGTTGACGGGATTTGGTTGCCCCAGTTCCCTCAGGTGCTTTTGGGAAACTGAGATGCAGGCAAACGGACTTGTAGCTTCTGCTCCCCTGTTATTAATGAGAGGTTGCATCTTCTGGGAATTGACACAAATGCAAAAATAGAGGACTTGTCCAACAGAAATGTGTATGTTAGAGTTCTTCATCCTTTGATTGCATCCTCTTCTCCTCCTCCTCCTGCAGTCTCCAAGATGATCCCACTGGCAGCAGGAGAGTTATGCACCAGCAAGTGAATGAGGTTTGCATGGAATATATAACTTCATTTAGGTCCCAGTATCCCAAGCATTCACGATCCCCATTTAAAACAATTCAGCAGTATTTTTTTCAACAGTTAACACAGGGGCTTCATTTGTGTTTCAGAAAGGGTAAGCTTGGTTCTCCAGGATGCACAGAGCCTCTCTGAGCAGCCAAATAAAGTCTCCCAGTACATGGTAGAACATTAACCAGCAACAAAAAGAAACTGAATGCGATGCTGAATGGACTTCAGAGGACAGTTTGGCTTAGTCTAAAGCTTGTGCTTTCTGACATTTGCAATCAACTCCCTCTCTCCTGTGATTTGTGACATCCTTCCCAGAAATATACCTTCCCTACAGCCGAGCCGCTTCCTTCCCTACAGTCGAGCCGCTTCCTCCATACACTGCATCTTCATTTTACAAGCCTGGAACTCGACCAAAGACACAGCAGACCCCCTGGACTACTATGGAGGCTGCCCATTAATTACTTGCTCTTAACCTCTTTCCTAAGTTAATTAAACAAGAAGTGTCAGTTTCCAGGTCTTTTAACGGGTCTCATGATAAATATGCAGAGTTTTAACTAACTTTATTGTTCCCAGTGCAGTTCTTCAAGTCAGACTGGGCTTTGCCTCCTTCCTCCAAACATCTGTGCTTATCAGTGGTGGCGGTTCTCAAAGCAGAGAGAACAAAATCCTCTAATGGGAAAGGGAGAATGGAGAAGGGGAAAGCACACTGACAGGTCTAAGTTACAGCGAGGACTGTGTGCTGCCATTAAACTAATGCCACAGAAGAACCTATAGACAGTGAAGGACAGACAAATTAATGTTGCAAGGTACCGAGAGGAGAAGCAGAGTCTGTCAGAAGCTGAGATTCCAAAAACTGCAAAAAAGTACAGACTTCTTGAGAGCGGGGATGGAGGTAGGAAGGTCCCCCCTGTGTTTCTTCCAATGCCTCTGAACTGCATCTTGAGGGGAAAAAGCAGTTCCTGCCAAGTACGCTGAAGAAAGGGTAACGTCGCCTTGGTGGTGACAAAGCTGTCCGTGTTGGGGACTGTAAATCAAGATTTCGACATTGCCTTTTTCTGATTTGCTGTATAATGACTTGCACATCACTTAACCTCCCTTCATCTCTCTCTGTCCTTCAGAAAGATAAGCCTTGTATTAACTAACGTCTCAGGAGAGCTGTAATGATTCAACTCCCCCTTCCCCCAGCCGAGGACTCACGGCTGCTCCACTTACTACTGACCGCAGAATGCCGAAGCGGCCATCACCGAGGAGAGATTTACCAGATAGTTTTGAAAGCACTTTGAGATCCCCATGCAAAGGTGCAGCGCCACGTTTTGCCACACACTGACCTGTATGCACAGCGACATTAGTTCAGGTGTGCTACCCTTCCATAGTGTAGAAGTCCGTAGGGTTTCCACAGGCTCCCGAGCCTGCCTCCCACACTGCTTCTTCAGTAACACAGAGCATCAAAAATACTACTCCGGCCAGACTAAGATCAGATGCAAAGCCTGCTGAA